CTGAATATGGAAGTAAATTCACACTAGCTCCAAGATCAAGTAAAGCTCTTTCAATTTTATGTTCTCCAATAAAGCAAGAAATTATAGGACAACCAGGGTATTTATATTTCAAAGCATTATTGTTCTGAAGAATGGCACTTACTTGTTCTGCTAAAAAGGCTTTCTTTTTCATATTCAGTTTCCTCTTCATAGTGCATAGATCTTTCAAAAATTTAGCATAGAAAGGAACCTGTTTAATAGCATCCAACAAAGGTATATTGATTCTTACTTGTTTGAAAATTTCAAAAATTTCAGAGTTGTGATTGACTTTCCTTTGTTTGGTCATGACATAAGGAAATGGAAGTGCTGGCGGAGAATCAGTCTTTTCTTTGCAATTTTCAGATTCAACCCCTTCCTTACCCTCGGAGATTGACTCATAATCTTTCTCATAAGGTTCAAGAGAGGGTTTTTCAATAACCTTACCACTGAGCAGAGTAGTGACTGATTTGACTTGATCCATGTGTTGGCTTCCAGAACTACTTGCATTTGCATTGTATTGCCCCTTGGGATTTTGTTGTGGTTGAGATGGAAACTTACCTTTCTCTTGGAAACTGAGAGCACATGTTAATTTTGCAAGAGTATCTTTAAAATCTGTCATGTTTTGAGCAAGTTGAGTATTGATTGTCTCTTGCTTTTCAATGAATGCATGCAATGTTTCCTCAAGATTTCTTCTAGGAGGTGGAGCATAAGGAGGTGCATATCCATGAGAATTTTGGAAATTGTGGTGTGCTTGAAATGGTGGTTGTGAAGTTTGTGCATTGTTGTTCTCACTCTTCCAACTAAAATTTGGGTGATTTCTCCAACCAGGGATGTATGTTTGGGAGTATGGGTTGTGGTTGGCCCTTTGAAAATTGTTTAAAGCATGGGCTTGTTCATGGAGACATTCCTTAAAAGAAGGCAAGGTTGGACAGTTACTGGTTGAGTGTTCATTTGTTTCACAGATTTGACACACAATGTTTTTAACAGATTTTAATTGACCACTCTTTTTCAATTCTAGTGCCTCGACTTTTCTAGCTAAAGATGCAAACTTGGCTTGAAGGTCATGATCTTCCCTAAGGTTATACATGCCTCCACCAGATGTATGAGGTTGAGTTTTACTCGATGCCTCATAAGTACCCGCGGTGTCTCAATTTTGAGCATTTTCAGCTAACAAGTCTAAGTATTATATTGCTTCATCAGGGTCTTTATCTTCAAAAGTTCCATTGCACATCAATTCAACCATTTGCCTATCTTTAGGTGTTAGCCCTTCATAGAAATGTGAAACCAATCTCCATGTTTCAAAACCATGATGAGGGCAAGTACTAAGCAAGTCTCGATACCTATCCCAACATTGGTAAAATGTTTCTCCTGGTTTTTGAGTGAAAGTGGTGATTTGTCTCTTGAAAGAGTTTGTTCTATGAGATGGGAAAAACTTCTTTAAAAATTGTTGTTGCATTTCATCCCAAGCACGAATGGATCCTGGTCTTAAATTTTATAGCCATGTTTTAGCTTTATCTTTTAATGAAAAAGGAAAAAGCTTTAATCTGATGGTGTTCATGCTACAATTTAAATTGTTATATGTGTTGCACTCCTCCTCAAATTCCCTTAAATGCAAGTATGGATTTTCAAATTCTAAACCATGAAAAGAAGGTAAAAGTTGAATAATACCTGGTTTAAAATTAAAATGAGATGCATCAGGAGGAAAAACTATGCATGATGGTGCACTTGTTCTTGTGGGATTCATGTGGTCTCTAAGTGTTCTAGCACGGTTATTCTCATTATTCTCATTATGAAGTGATTGATTATCTTCTTCGGCCATATTTTCTGAAAATGATGAGGATACCCTACAAAGTCTACCACTTGATGTACGTGACCACACTCTCATGCACGTGTAGGAATAAAATAAAAAAGAAGAAGAAAGCAAAAGAAGGAGGAAGAAAACAAAATAAAAAGAAACAAAAGAAAAGAAACAAAGTTATATACAAGAAAAGTGAAAAGAGAAAATAAAATAAATACTATAATTTATACAAGAACTTACCTCCCCGGCAACGGCGCCAAAAACTTGACACGACTAAAAGATTGATGTCTTCTCCCAAGTGCAGGAGTGTCGAAGTAATAAATAACCCGGCAAGACCGGGGTCGAACCACAGGGAGGTTAATTGTACAAATTATAAACAACAATTATAAAACAACAATAACAACAACAACAATAGTAATAATAATAATAATAATAATAATAATAATAATAATAGTAGTAGTAGTAGTAGTAATAAAAATAATAATAAAGAAAGCGAAGACGAAGAAGATGATGAGAACGTGGAGATGGAAAATTAATGTAAGGATTAAACAATAATAATAACAAATGTCAAGGTTAGAGGTTCCACTAATGGTATATCAAACAAGTATAGTATAAACTCTTATTATTGAATTGGAAACCACACACAAAGGAGGTTCCAATCAGATTATATATTGTTAACATGATTACATTAGTCATCTTATTCAATTAATGCTAATACTTGTAAATCTCGTCAAGCATTCATAATTATAACTTATGTTAACAACAAATCAAGTTCCTTTCATAGCTCAGGTGTCGGTTATACCATACATTATGGGCTATGAAAGTGCCAAGCATTTGTTGTACCAAGTGTTATACAACATAAATCAAGATTAATCATTTAACAAGCAAAGTATTAAAGAGTGAACAAGATAACAAATATAAAACATGTTAGTATCAAACATTAAAGTCCATATTAAGTTTACACTATACTTATTCTTACACCATTAGTGTAACCTTTTCACCTTGACATAACTAACTTAGCTAGACATAATGAAAGAAAGCAAAATAGATAAACAAAATAAGAACATAAAAGTTAACTAAGTAAAGGAAAGGAAATGAAAGGCATAAACTTAATATTAATGAAAACAAAGCATAAAAAATACAAAGAGAGAAAGGAAGAGAATGATCTTGATCTGGAAACCAAGATGCCTAAATGCATGGCAAATGCCTCCTTTTATAGGCCAAAATTGAGAACTATTGATTTGATGACTAATTGATAAGTGGGTGGCCAACTTTTGACTTGGTGACAATCCTTATCTTCTCTTGTCTGCCCAAAACGTCATTGATAACGTCAAAACTGGAGCCAGTTGCAAACATGAAAGTTGTAGGCAATTGTCTCAGCTTTCTTGTGTAAAAAATTCAGCTCATTTGGACTTCTAGAACTCCAGATATGGCCAAAATACCGAACAGTGCTCGGGCTGGAAGACAGATTCGGGCTTCTTTGTTGTTTCTACAATTTGGACTTGATAATGGCCTAAGTACTAATCATTCAGTCCATTCAAAAATATTATCTTTTGTTAGAAGGTTACTTAAGGGTTTAGATATTACACTAAAATCTTTGATGAACCTTCTATAAAAACCAGCATATCCTAAGAATAATTAACATCTTTAATAGATTTTGGTGTTGGCAAGTTTGCAATTAACTCGATTTTAGATTTGTCAACCTCAATTCCTTTTGATGAAACAATGTGACCAAGTACAATGCTCTTTCAATTATATGTTTTCCAATAAAGCAAGAAATTATAGGACAACCAGGGTCTTTATATTTCAAAGCATTATTGTTCTGAACAATGATACTTACTTGTTCAGCTAAAAAGGGTTTCTTTTTCACATTCAACTTTCTCTTCACAATGCATAGATCTTTCAAAAATTGAGCATAAGAAGGAACCTGTTTAATAACATCCAGCAAAGGTATATTGATTCTTACCTATTTGAAAGTTTCAAAGATTTCAGAGTTGTGATTGACTTTTTTTTGTTTGGTCATGGCATGAGGAAATAAAAGTGCTAACGGGGGAATCAGTCCTTTCTTTCCAAATTTCAGATTCAACCCCTTCCTTACCCTCAGAGATTAACTCATCATCTTTCTCACAAGGTTCAAGAGTGGGTTTCTCAATAACCTTATGATTAGTACTTAAAAGTGTATTTTTATCATGGTTTTATATCATCATTTTGCAGTATCAATAACTCCTTAACTAAAGCATGTTTTATAATAATATATCTAATAATATAAGATACCTTTAATTTGCGGTAAATGTTCATTTTAAATGCAGGCCTATCACATAAATGAAAGGTTTGCTTGATGACTTTAAGAACTTAAATTGCAAGGGCAAAAAGATGACCAAAATTAGAAAAGAGATGTCGGTGCAATCCAAACCGGAACACTGTTCAGTAATTGGGTCATATCTGGAGCTATAGATCTCAGATTTAGGTCTACTTTATATGGATGGAAAGGTAAGACATAGGCCTACAACTTTCATATGGATCCCAAGATCTAAAAAGGCAATTTTCAAGTCCAAATTATTGCAACAACAAAGAAGCCCGAAGCTGTCCTCCAGCCCGAGCACTGTTTAGTATTTTGGCCATATCTGGAGTTCTAGAAGTCCAAATGAGCTGAATTGTTTACACAAAAATCCTGAGACAATTACCTACAACTTTCATGTTTGGAAGTGGTTTCAATTTTGATGTTATCAATGACGTTTTGGGCAGACAAGAGAAGATAAGGATTGTCACCAAGTCAAGAGTTGGTCACCCACTCATCAATTAGTCATCAAATCAATAGTTTCTAATTTTGGCCTATAAAAGGAGGCATTTTCCATGTATTTAGGCATCTTGGTGTTCAGATCAAGATCATGTTCTTCCTTTCTCTCTTTGTATTTTTTGTAATGTGTATGCTTTGCTTTCATTAATATCAAGTTTATGCCTTTCATTTCCTTTCCTTTACTTAGTTAAGTTTTATGTTCTTATTTTGTTTATCTATTTTTCTTTCTTTCATTATGTCTAGCTAAGTTTATTATGTCAAGGTGAAAAGGTTACACTAATGGTGTAAGAATAAGTATAGTGTAAACTCAATATGGACTTTAATGTTTGATACTAACATGTTTTGTATTTGTTATCTTGTTCACTCTTTAATACTTTGCTTGTTAAATGACTAATCTTGATTTATGTTGTATAACACTTGGTACAACAAATGTTTGGCATTCTCATAGCTCATACTGTATGGTATAACCGACACCTGAGCTATGAAAGGAACTTGATTTGTTGTTAACATAAGTTATAATCATGAATGCTTGACGAGATTTATAAGTATTAGCATTAATCGAATAAGATGACTAATATAATCATGTTAACAATCTATAATCTGATTGGAACCTCCTTTGTGTGTGGTTTCCAATTGAATAATAAGAGTTTATACTATACTTGTTTGACATCCCATTAGTGGAACCTCTAACCTTGACATTTGTTATTATTATTGTTTAATTCTTACATTAATTTTCCATCTCCAGGTTCTCATCATCATCTTCTTCTTCTCTTTTTTTTTTTTATTATTATTATTATAGTTATTATTGTTATTGTCATTGTTGTTATTATTGTTATTACTATTATTATTGTTGTTGTTGTTATTATTATTGTTGTTGTACTATTGTCGTTTATAATTTGTACAATTAACCTCCCTGTGGTTCGACCTCGGTCTTGCTGGGTTATTTATTATTTCGACACTCCTGCACTTGGGAGAAGACATCAATCTTTTAGTCGTGTCACCTTACCACTGCAGAAAGTAGTGACTGATTTGACTTGATTCATGTGTTGGCTTTCAAAACTACTTGCATTTGCATTATATTGCCCTTTGGGGTTTTGTTGTGGTTGAGATGGAAACTTTCCTTTCTCTTGGAAACTGAGAGCAGATGTCAATTTTGCAAGAGTATCTTTAAAATTTGTCATGTTTTAAGTAAGTTAAGTATTGATTGTCTCTTTCTTTTCAATGAATGCATGCAATATTTCCTTAAGATTTCTTCTAGAAGGTGGAGCATAAGGAGATGCATATTTATGAGAATTTTAGAAATTGTGTTATGCTTAAAATGGTGGTTGTGAAGTTTGTACATTATTAGTATCACTTTTCCAATTGAAATTTGGGTGATTTCTCTAACCAGGATTGTATGTTTGTGAGTATGGGTTGTGGTTGACCCTTTGGAAACTTTTTAAAGCATGAGCTTGTTTATGGAGACATTCCTTAAAAGAAGGCAAGGTTAGACAGTTATTGGTTGAGTATTTATTTGTTTCACATATTTGACACACAATGTTCCAACAGATTTTAATTGACCATTATTTTTCAATTCTAATGCCTCGACTTTTATAGCTAAAGATGCAAACTTGGCTTAAAGGTCATGATTTTTTCTAAGGTTGTACATACCTCCACTAAATGTATGAGGTTGAGTTTTACTCGGTGCCTAATAAGTACCCGCGGTGTCCCAATTTTGAGCATTTTCAGCTAACAAGTTTAAATACTTCATTGCTTCATCAGGCTCTTTATCTTCAAAGTTCCATTGCACATCAACTTAACCATTTGTCTATCTCTAGGTGTTAACCTTTTATAAAAATATGAAACCAATCTTCATGTTTTAAAACCATGATGAGGGCAAGTATTAAGCAAGTCTCAATACCTATCCTAACATTGGTAAAATATTTCTCCTGGTTTTTGAGTGAAAGTGGTGATTTGTCTTTTGAATAAATTTATTCTATAAGATGAGAAAAACTTTTTTAAAAACTTTTGTTACATTTCATCCCAAGCATGAATGGATCCTGGTCTCCAATTTTGTAGCTATGTTTTAGCTTTATCTTTTAATGAAAAAGGAAAAAGCTTTAATTTGATGGTGTTCATGCTACAATTTTTGTCATTATAGGTGTTACAGACCTCTTCAAATTCCCTTAAATACAAATATGAATTTTCTAAATCTAAGCCATAAAAAGAAGTAAAAGTTGAATAATGTGTGGCTTAAAATTAAAATGAGATGCATCAGGAGGAAAAATTATGCATAATGGTACACTTGTTCTTGTGGGATTCATGTGATCTCTAAGTGTTTTAACACGGTTATTCTCATTATTCTCATTATGAAGTGATTGATTATATTTTTCGGCTATATTTTTTGAAAATGATGAGGATACCCTATAAAGTCTACCACTTAATGTACGTAACCACACTCTCATGCATATGTAGGAATAGAATAAAAGGAAGAAGAAAAAAAAAAAAAAGAAACAAAAGAAAAGAAACAAAGATATATACAAGAAAAGTGAAAAGAGAAAATAAAATAAATACTAGAATTTGTACAAGAAGTTACCTCGCCGGCAACGACGCCAAAAACTTGACACGACTAAAAGATTGATGTCTTCTCCCAAATGTAGGAGTGTCGAAGTAATAAATAACCCAGCAAGACTGAGATTGAACCATATGGAGGTTAATTGTATAAATTATAGATGATAATAATACAACAACAATAACAACTACAACAACTACAACAACAACAACAATAATAATAATAGTATTAGTAGTAATACCAATAATAATAATAATAAAGAAAAAGAAAAAGAAGAAGAAGAAGAAGATGAGAACTTTGAGATGGAATATTAACGTAACGATTAAACAATGATAATAACAAATGTCAAGGTTAGAGGTTCCACTAATGGTATGTCAAACAAGTATAGTATAAACTCTTATTATTCAATTGGAAACCACACACAAAGAAGGTTCCAATCTAATTATAGATTGTTAACATGATTACATTAGTCATCTTATTCGATTAAAGCTAATACTTGTAAATCTCGTAAAGCATTCATGATTATAACTTATGTTAACAAAAAATCAAGTTCCTTTCATAGCTGAGGTGTCGGTTATACCATATAGTATGGGCTATGAGAGTGCCAAGTATTTATTGTACCAAGTGTTATACAACATAAATCAAGATTAGTCATTTAACAAGCAAAGTATTAAAGAGTGAACAAGATAACAAATACAAAACATGTTAGTATCAAACATTAAAGTCCATATTAAGTTTACACTATACTTATTCTTACACCATTAGTGTAGCCTTTTCACCTTGACATAATAAACTTAGCTAGACATAATGAAAGAAAGAAAAATAAATAAAAAAAATAAAAACATATCTGGAGCTATAGATCTTAGATTTAGGTCTACTTTATATGGATGGAAAGGTAAGATATAGGCCTACAACTTTCATATGGAGCCCAAGATCTAAAAAGGCCATTTTCAAGTCCAAATTATTGCAACAACAAGGAAGCTCGAAGCTGTCCTCCAGCCCGAGCACTGTTCAATAGTTTGGCCATATCTAGAGTTCTAGAAGTCCAAATGAGCTGAAGTTTTTACACAAGATAGCTGAGACAATTACCTACAACTTTGATGTTTTCAAGTGGCTCCAATTTTGACGTTATCAATAATGTTTTGGGCAGACAAGAGAAGATAAGGATTGTCATCAAGTCAAGAGTTGGCCACCCACTTATCAATTAGTCATCAAATCAATAGTTCCCAATTTTGGCCTATAAAAGGAGGCATTTGCCATGCATTTAGGCATCTTGGTTTCCAGATCAAGATCATGCTCTTGCTTTCTCTCTTTGTATTTTTTGTAATGTTTATGCTTTCCTTTCATTAATATCAAGTTTATGCCTTTCATTTCCTTTCATTTACTTAGTTAACTTTTATCTTATTTATGTTCTTATTTTGTTTATTTATTTTTCTTTCTTTTATTATGTCTAGCTAAGTTTATTATGTCAAGGTGAAAAGGTTACACTAATGGTGTAAGAATAAGTATAGTGTAAACTCAATATGGACTTTAATGTTTGATACTAACATGTTTTGTATTTGTTATCTTGTTCACTCTTTAATACTTTGCTTGTTAAATGATTAATCTTGATTTATGTTGTATAACACTTGGTACAACAAATGCTTGGCACTTTCATAGTTCATACTGTATGGTATAACCGACACTGAAGCTATGAAAGGAACTTGATTTGTTGTTAACATAAGTTATAATCATGAATGCTTGACGAGATTTACAAGTATTAGCATTAATCGAATAAGATGACTAATGTAATCATGTTAACAATCTATAATCTCATTGGAACATCCTTTGTGTGTGGTTTCCGATTAAAAAATAAGAGTTTATACTATACTTGTTTGACATACCATTAATGGAACCTCTAACCTTGACATTTGTTATTATCATTGTTTAATCCTTACATTAATATTTCATCTCAAAGTTCTCATCTTCTTCTTCTCCTTCTTTATTACTACTACTACTACTATTATTATTATAGTTGTTGTTGTTATTGTTATTATTGTTGTTATTATTGCTATTATTGTTGTTTATAATTTGTACAATTAACCTCCTTGTGGTTCGACCCCGGTCTTGCCGGGTTATTTATTACTTCGACACTCCTGCACTTGGGAGAAGACATCAATCTTTTCGTCGTGTCAGAGGACTATTTTGTAAAATAGAGACTAGGGTTTCCTAGGATATAAAAAGAATGAGAGAAGAGAATGAAGGCAGCCAACCAAGAAGAGAAAAACGCCCCCCTCTTCTAAGAAACTCAAAATTAACAAACATGCTAGGCTAAACACTTTTTCTTTGTTGCAAAGACATGGAAACCTTCAGATTTCAAGAACTGTGAGATTTATTTTACCTTTTCTTTTAAGTTTCTATGATGAATATGTTTGTTCTTTTATGCTTATTTTTTCTATGATTGTTTATTTTAATTGTTGGAGCGAACTTTGAGTTATTATTGTAGATAATCTATTGCTAAGTTTGATATCAAAATCGAAGTTGTGGTATGAACTTGTGAAGGAACTGAATTTAATAACTGTGGTGGAGTTATGTTATTAATCTTAGGGAAAACATTCAATCAAATCAAATATAGAACACGGACAGTTATGTTTTCTTGAATAATCAATTTATTTAGTTCTAAAGGCTGCCATTGAATTAAATTACTAGTACGAACACTATGGTTATTTGGTGGTTTAGGTTAGTTATACCGCGGATCCGTTAACTAACCAATATTAAAAAGATATTAATATTTAGAATATAAATTGATGTTTTGTTTCCATGATCAGTTTTGATTTGTAGATGAATGTGTGCTTGTGATCATGGTTTGTTATCTTGATAATTTTCTGATTTTATTTAATTTCGCTTGATAGTTTTCTAATTTCTTTTGCTTTAGCTTAGATAACGTCCAAACCCCCCTAATTGCATATCATCTAGTATAAAAATATGACTTGAACCTTTCTTATGGGATCAACCCCTTGCTTGTTCTATAATATCTTGTGTGTTGTGTTTTAAGTTAGGATAATTAATTTGTACAACCGCGAGATCACAACAATGTTGTATAACATCTGAGAAGAAGAAGAAGAAAATAAGAACTTCTAGAACATTGAGGTCATTTGGACTTCTAGAACTCTAGATATGGGCCAAATACTGAACAGTGCTCGGATGGCCAAAATACCGAACAGTGCTCGGGCTGGAAGACAGATTCGGGCTTCTTTGTTGTTGCTACTATTTGGACTTGATAATGGCCTTTTTAGATCTTGGGCTCCATATGAAAGTTGTAGGCCTATGTCTTACCTTTCCATCCATATAAATTGGACCTAAATCTGAGATCTGTAGCTCCAGATATGACCCAATTACCGAACAGTGTTCCGGTTTGGATTGCACCGACATCTCTTTTCTAAGTTTGGCCATCTCTTTGCCTTTGCAATTTAAGTTCTTAAAGTCATCAATCAATATTTTCATTTATTTGATAGGCCTGCATTTAAAATGAACATTTATCATAAATTAAGGTATCTTATATTATTAGATATATTATTATAAAACATGCTTTAGTTAAGGAGTTATTGATACTTCAAGTGCAAAATATTGACATAAAACCTTGATAAAAAATGCACTTTTAAGTACTAATCATTAATATAATTTATAATAATGAATGTCTCACAACATTTACAAGTATTAGCATTATTCGAATAAGATAATTAATATAATCATGTTAACCATCTATAATCCTATTGAAATTTCATTTGTGTGCGGTTTTTAGTTGAGTAATAAAAGGAGTTTATACTATATTTATTTGAAATACCATTAGTGGATCCTCTAATCTTGACATTTGTTTTTATCATTGTTTAATCCTCATATTGATCTTCAATCTCAAAGTTCTCATCAACTTCTTCTTTTTCTTCTTTACTACTATTATTATTGTTGTTATTATTGTATTATTTTTGTTTATAATTTATACAATTAACCTCCCTGTGGTTCGATCTTAGTTTTACTGGGTTATTTATTATTTTGATATTTCTACACTTAGAAGAAGACATCAATCTTTTGATCGAGTTACTAGGCTGGTTAGATTATGATTTTTTTTATTTGAGCTTTTTTTATATATAAAAAAGAGCTACTTTTATAGCTTAGTTAAACATTTTTTTTCTCATTTTAAAGAGATTTTTCAAAGGATAATTGATGATAAGTTATTTATGCTAGGATAAAATAATCTTATATTGTCAATGATTGTATATTTTCTTTTGGTCCTTGAAAGTAAAATTTACACTTTTGCCAAGGAGACGCCTTATTATAACAATGGTTAAAACTGCTCAGTGTTTCACTGTGCAAGTCCACAGTGAAATGCTAAGCTGTTTTTTTCATCTTTTTTTTATTTTGTTTTTTAAGTTGTTTTTTTATTTTTTTTTGTTTTTTTAAGCTGTTTATTTTCTTTGTTTTTTTTAATGAATGTTTTTTTGTTCAATTTTTTTTGTTAATGTTTAATTTTTTTTCTATTTAATTATTAAATTTTCATGATACAGGTTTTGGGTTTGACGGGTTAACCTGAATTTTTTTTGTTTTTCTTTTTAATTAATTTTTCAAGTGTAATCCATAGTGAAACACTTAACTGTCTTTTTGTTGTTGTTTTTTTTTTCTTCTTTTTTGTTTTTGCCTTTTGCTTTGTTTTTTTAAGTTGTTTTGTTTTCTTTGTTTTATTAATGAATATTTTTTTGTTTAGTTTTTTTTAATGTTAACTTTTTTTCTATTTAGTTATCAAACTTTCATTACACGGGTTCCGAGTTTGACAGATTAACCCAGATTTTTTTTTCTGGTTTTTCTTTTTAATTAATTTTTTCATTTAATTTAGTTTGTTAGTGTTAAATTTTTCTATTTAGTTATCAAACTTTCATAACACGGATTCTGAATTTGACGGGTTAACCCAGCTAATTCCGGGTTAACATGTAATTTTTTTTCCTTATTCAGTTATTAAACTTTCATAACACGAATTCCAGATTTGACAGGTTAACATGATTTAAAGGGTTAACCTAGTTAATTCAATTTTTTTTCTTTTTCTTCATTAGTTTTTTCCTTCATGTAGGCTTTTCTTTCTTTTTTTTAATCATTTTTTTTTCTTTTCCTTTTTTTTCCTTTTTAATTAGTTTTTTTAAATTTAGTTTGTTAATATTAAGTTTATTTCTATTTAGTTATCAAACTTTCATGACACAAATCCTAGGTTTGACTAATTAACCTGGTTTGACGGGTTGAGCCAGTTAATTCAGAGTTTTTCTTTTTCTTCATTAGTTTTTTTCTTCCTACAGGTTTTTTTTCTTTTTAATTAATCTTTTTTTTGTTCATTTTAGTTTATTAATGTTAATTTTTTTCTATTTAATTATCACACTCTCATGACACGAATCCTAGGTTTAACGAATTAACCTAATTGATTCAGATTTTTTTCTTTTTCTTTATTAGTTTTTTCCTTCCAATTTCATCTTTAAAAATTGTAATTAACTATAATTAAAAGACATCAATCTTTTTTCTTCCAATTTTATGATACGAATCCCAGGTTTGACGGGTTAAACCAGTTAATTCAGATTTTTTTCTTTTTTTAAGTAGTTTTTTCCCTTTAATTTCATCTTTTAATATCGATTTAATTAAAAATTAAACTTTATGATTTGTTTTGTTTACTTATCATTAAATTATTATGATTTTACGAGGGGATTTTACTGTACCTCTCCATTCAAAACACTATTCATCGAATAATATTTTGCTTTATTATTTTTTTTTTAATTAATCTTTTTTTTTTAATTTTATTCTGTAATATTAAATTTTTTTTCTTTTTAATTATCACCTTTTTATAATAAAACCTTGCAATCAAATTTTCTTTTTAATTATCACATTTTTATAATAAAACCTTGCAATCAGACTCATATTAAAGACTCCAGATTTGATATTACAATCAAACTCACTTAAACTTGAGTAATGCAAATTTAATATTATTATTAATATTAAAAATATAATATTTAGATTAAAAATAATAAACTAAATATTATTAGATATAACTTTATAAAAAAATCTAATATTTTTAAATTTTAATTTTTTAATATTTTTTATTCCCGTAGCGTAGCGCGGCACGTTTTTAGACCTTCCTAAATTTACACGGCCTTTCATAAAAGCTCAAACACGGGAAAAGAGAAAAAGAATTCAGAAGAAAGGGGGAGAGGATGGCGCAGTAGCAGGGCAGCAAATATATCCCCGATAGAAAGATATTAATAAATAATCAATCGGAAGCACTGAGACATTCAGACTCCGTTAAAGATGGGGGAGGAGAAGAGGCATCAGATGATGCAGAACTTGTTCGGCGATCAGTCCGAAGAAGAAGAAGAGATCGATTCTGAGCACGAATCCAATCCCCAGCCCAATTATGCTTCCGTAAATAAATACTCAATTCACCTTTTCTCCTATATATATATTATATTATTCTCAATATTATCTTTTGGATTTGTAGCCTCGCTGTACGTAGGGTTTTTTTCCTCTTAAAATTAAAAACCCTAACTGGGTTGCAATGTATTGCATTGTTGCTCAATTGAACTACCTAGTTGATTGAATTAGAATGCTGCTGCTATTAGGTTTTGCTTGAAATTCGCTAGGGTTTTATGTTTTAATAATTTTATCTTTGTAAGGGTTTCCTTCCTTTGCAGGATGAAGCTGAGGGAGAGCTGAGGAATGACGGCGAAGGTGAAGGTGAAGTTGACGGGCAGGAGGATGTACATGTGGAAAGTGAAGGTGAAATGCGTGAAGTAGAACCTGATCCTGGAGAAAGTGAGGGTGAAAGAGAACAAAGTTCCCAAGAGGTAGATATCGGTGATCAGAGGGATGAAAGTGATGCAAAAGATTCTGACAGTGATGCTAAGGAAGAGTATGGTCACAGAGTGGCTACCAGCCGCAGACGTGATGTAATTGAAAGTGGTTCAGAGGAACATCATTATGTTGATCATGAAGATGAGGAAGTCGATCAAGCTAGAAGTCCAAGGTTATTTCCTCACCTTTTTTCTGTCATCTAGAACTTTCTGCAACCTATCTATCCACCACTGTAAAAAGAAGTTGTTCATAAAGATTAGCCACAAGTTCCTTGGATGTCTATTTATTTATGTTCTCCTGTATTAAACCTGCTGAATATTCGAATTTCTTAATAGCAAATCACCTGAGGAGGAGAAAGATCAGGCTCAAAATGCACAATCAGCTCCTGCGATTCGGGATGTGTTTGGGGACTCCGAGGATGAAGAAGAGGATGCATATGCAGTTCGTAATGACATTGAGCAAGATTCTAATGTGTGTATACCATGTTTCAAATGTTTTTGTCATATATGTTAATTGCTTGGTGCTCCCATTCACACTAATGGCTCCAAGGGCCACCCATTTTGCTCTCAATCCTTAGAGGTCACCTATGGAAGAGGAGGAAAGCTATGAAAAGAACCTGAGACCAGAGGATATGCTAGCTGACGAAGATGCTCAATATGAGTCAGAAGAGGAGAACCGAGAGGCTAAACCTAAAGAGAAGCCACTTGGCCCCCCATTGGAGATAGAGATGCCATTTTGCCCACCTCCGGCCGATCCTAAGAAGGTGTTCTCTTCTTTGTTCCATCTGCTTCTAAAATGTTAACTAACTCATCATTTCTTTGGTGCTTGAGTTCCCCTTTGCTTGATATACATGCATGGTTTTTCTTCAAGTTTCAATAGCAAGTAAACAGAATATAGAATAAGTTTAAGTGGTCTACTGGCCTCTATTGGAAACAACTTGAAAGTAGGTGTTTAGATTATATAGGATCTCATTTGTGTATCTATTTCTGTTTTTTAAAGTGTCACATTTGAAGAGTTGGGGAGTGTCTTCCGTTCTTGAAGATACTGCTGGAACAGTTTTGGATGTGTTTTTCATCCCTGCTCTTCTTGTTTTTGGAGGGGTTATCAGTGTTGGCAAAAAATTCTTCATTGTTTGATTGAATGCTTGTCAAAGTATATTTTACATTGAAGAAAATGTTCCTGATCTCTATCAATATGTCTGATGGTTGGTTAATTACATGTGGTCTCTAAATTTGTAGATTTTGGTCATTTTAATCCCTGTGTCCCAATTTGGGGTTGAGAAAATTTACAGTTCTAATTTCTGGTCTCTAAACTAATGGTTTTTAGATGCCTGTGTGTTTTGTCATGTGTACACATGAGTGGATGAAGGGACTGTGTGACCACAAATTGAAAGTGTGAGAATTAGCGTGCCTGAAGTTGTGGTACAGGGGTTAAATGATCAAAATCTAAAACTTGGGGAGCCTCAGGTGTAATTTACCAGCCTGATGGCTGTTGTTGTTGATGACGTTTTCTGTTCTTTGCTACTTTAGATGTATAAATGTTCTGACTTGTGGTGATTGTCTAATTCTTGTATGTAGATGAACATGATTAAAGTATCCAATATTATGGGCATTGACCCAAACCAATTTGATCCTAAGACGTATGTGGAAGAGAAAACATTTGTGACAGATGAATCTGGAGCTCAAAAACGAATACGCCTAGAAAACAATATTGTACGATGGAGGACTGTTAAGAATCCTGATGGCTCGAATTCGGTGAGCAGATTCTTCTTCTTCTTCTTCTTCTTCCTCTTCCAATTAAAAACTTTTTACATTTGTGTTTGATCTGTAGGTTGAAAGCAATGCACGCTTCGTGAGATGGTCTGATGGTAGCCTGCAGTTATTAATTGGGAATGAAGTTCTTGATATATCCGTGCAAGATGCGCAACAGGATCAAACACACCTTTTTCTTAGACATAACAAGGTGACATCTCAAGTCTGTGTATATGTGATTGGAAATGATGATATTTTGCTTGCTTTATCTTTGAGTCTCTCATTTACCTGCTTAGAGCTGGCTTAAGTTCCAAACATAATGATTGCATAAGCCTGATTTTTTGACATGAATTTGTTGAAATAATTGGGAAATGGCTGCAAGTTAGAGTCCTTTATTATGGGACTTATATTCTGTAGTTACTTTTTATGGGAAGGTGATGCTGTTAGATATCTGGTATCGTTTAACATGCTGTAAAGCCTCTGATAGTGTAGTCCTTGATGGTAATGCTACTTCTTGCTGAGGGATTTGGCATTTGAAATCGTTTGCGTGCCACTTTATTGACCTATTCTCCTTTTCCGGATTTGGCATTTGAAATCGTTTGCGTGCCCCTTTATTGACCTATTCTCCTTTTCCTTATTTTTAACTGGGAACAGGATGATAATGAATAATACAGCAAAAGGATCAAAGTTGGTTGTTGGATGTAAACTGAAGTTTAAGATTTCTTGATGGTATTTCTTTTTTGTGTAAATTTCATAGCAGTCACAGGAGCTGCCACTACAGACTTCATTTCATGCGTTTATT